CTTTCCCCCCCCCCCCCCCCTCTCTCTCTCTCTCTCTCTCTCTCTCTCTCTCTCTCTCTTTTACTGAAACACACTCACATACACACACACACACACACACACACACACACACGCGTGCGCGCGCGCACACACATACACACACACTTATCCCCCATCCCTTGTCTTGTCTATTCCTCTCTTTCTCTCTTTTTTGAATATTTACTCCAACAAACCATTAACCAGAGGGATCTCGTGGTCTAGAAGTTGCGGTGTTCGCCCTTCATTCAATAGGTCCTGAGTTCGAAATCTGAGCGACGGAATTTTTTTATCTCTAAAATCTTTCCTCTCCCCAAGTTCCCTGCTCTCTAACCATGTTCTATCGTCTGGTTTCATCTCCATTTTCCTCTCCTCTGGGCTCCTGACTGTTTCTATGGCCTTTCTACTTACTCCTTAGCTTCTTACTGCTGCCTTTCAGCCACACCCTTGATCTTAGGGTAAGTAAGATCTGACACCTAGCGTCTCGAATAAGGGCCAAAAATCTCAGAGGTTTCGTGTTCAAGTGGCGCATGTTAAAGATCCCTTGGTGGTCCTCAAATCGATGAGAGTAGGCTTCTGTAGCCAACCAGGTAAAATTTCAAAATCAATTTCACCAAACTGAACAGTTTTAATGTGTCCTGCATGCTTACGTGACGTTATGCAGTTGCGAGCGCCGTAAAACATTCACCAAAACAAAAACAAAAACATTTACCATAAAAACAACAACAACAAAAAGTGTCCATGAACATGTTGAACTCTCAAACTCCAGTCCTACGTCCATGAAAGCAGAAAGTAATCCTTCTTGTTGGATTAGTAAAACGACATATTACAATGACAACAATAACGCTTTCTACGCTTGGAATTAAGGAGCGGTGGTTTGGAAGGGGGTGGCAGAACGATGTGCCAGACCATTGTACAGCTTGTTTGATTGCTTGTCTGAATAAAGAGATAGAGAGACCACGAGAACAAAGGGAAAGAGAGTATGACCTATAATCCAATCACTCAGCCAGTATACTGCAACTCTGACAACCTATAGTTGGTGTCGCAATTGTGCGGTTACCATACCTGTTTAATTCCTCACACTACACAATATTGTGATGTAAGTACATGAATACAAAACAGTAAGTACATTGATAAATGCCCAGAACCAAGAAATACAGATTGAGTATTCGTTTCTGCTTTTCCTTTGACATACTACCAACTGAACCATTAGAGCTATATAATATGTTTATAGAATTCGCACGAAATGCTTTTAAAATGTAGGAGAAATGTTGACAACATGTCAAAATTCCTTCATACTGAAAAGGTATACTTTTCCCCTGAACTCATTTTGAATTTTAGACTAGCTATGTCGGTGTACATAATATAGTTTATGATTACACGTTAGATAGGTTTTTTTCTACCTAGTGACATTGCATCCTTAATAATTATTGTCATTACATCATTTGCCATTTGTTTAAAGCGGCTGTTGTTGTTTTTGTTGTTGTTTTTTTTAATTTTTGCGAATTATTTGAAGCCTCTGTTAGATCCCATATACTATCTGTGTATCTACTGCCTTTAACGGAAAACGAGTTGAGCAGCTGAGAAAATCCTAAGCATAAATAAATGTTCATTTTATCATTATCTGCCTGCCATTTTAGGTCACTAGTTATTTTAATTCAGTTTTATTTAAAATAACATTTCTCTCATTGTAGACAAAAGAATTTAAGATCAAACGAAAAACGCCACAACATTTCTCAATTTTCTGGGCTCCATCAAACACTTGGAAATCACTTAGCAGTAAAGATTTACATTTAAAAAGCTGATTCAGTTCCACGCTACGTCTAATTCCTAAATGATATTCAAATTTATTGGCCTTTCTCCCCCCTGCGTGTTAAATGCCGTCAAAGTTTGCCTAATCTGCAAGTCTGTGAGCATGCCTCGAGACTGGCGATTCTCAAGCCAACCCGAACAGTTAAATTTCAATATAATACTTTCTGCTCATGACAAGCTGCTATAAAAGCCATGATTATAAGAACCAGATCGATCCTCACTCCTTGTCATTAGCTCTAATTCTGAGATCGCCTGATGGTGAGCTTAACCGGAGTGATTGAATCGACCCGGCAAAAAACAACCTCTATGTAGACTCTTTACATCTAATCATTAAGTCATTCATTGAGCCGTTCTCTTCACTATCGATTCTCTTTTTATTATTCAGCCAGGCGAATAACATATCAACCTCTCAGTAATTCATAATTTCCAACATCCTTCACGGCTTTTGTTTCTCTGATTAACGATGGTTGGTCTGCACACCGCCCACGGCTGAGTAATACCAAAAAAAACACATTAATCTGAGATTTGATTTGATTAGTCCACCAGAATTGATCCCCCACCCGTCCTACTGGCTGTGATATATCGATGTGTCTAACCGTTTTTGATAAGGTCAAGGATCTAAGAGCACTTCTAGTGACTCAATGCAGATAAAAATTATTCAATGTTCGTCTGTTCCTGCACTCCGCCTAGACCCCTCTCACCCCCCCCCTTTTTTTGCGCACACGTTGTCCCAAATGCTTATAAAATACATGAGTTATGACAAACACACACACACACACACACACACACACACACACACACACACACACACACACACACACACACACACACACACACACAT